GGAGGGAGGGAGGGAGGGAGGGAGAGAGAGAGAACATCACCAGCCCTCCCAAGTTGGATTGGATCTAGCTCTCTCTCTCTCTTCCCACCCTGCCTGCTGTCCTTGCTGCTACTGGGACACTTCTCGGCTGCGGTAAGCCCCATGCTGTTGGCATCACAGGTGGAGCCATGCTGTCTGTGCCACCTCACCCACTGCTGTCTTTGGACTACTGAGTGCCAGCCTGCACTTGATGCTGCAGGCACTGGGCTACAGTCACATAGAGCCCGGTGCTCTTTGGGGCTTAGCAGGCGCTGCAACTCTCATTCCAGCTGTGCATGGGACAGCAGTGGGCGAGGTGGCATGGCTCTACCAGTGGCCGCTCATGAAGGAGCCCTGGGAGGCTAGTGGCACTAAGGAGGTTTTCAGAGGTTTTAAATCTGGGATTATTCAACCTGGCCAGGCAGGAGTAGTCCTGCAGTGCTGCCAAGAGCAGCACTGCCAGGAGGGCAAAGAGGCCAGCAGAAGCATGGGCATTTAAAGACTTGTGGATTTCAATTCCCAGAAATTCCCATAGGCCCCCACATCAGGTGTTCCCACATCAGGTGGGATAGCTCGTGCCCACCAGGTCTGTTGGGGTTGGAATTCAATCACACCCCCTGAGGTATCATCCACCCTGGCAGATGGTTCTCTGTGAAAGCTGAAATGGACAGCTGGAGGTGGGGCGGGGGAAGAAGAGAACAAGAAAGCACAGACCTTTTTCAGCACAAAGATTCACAGAAAGTAAATCAAACCGTGATGAGGGGGGATTTTCCTGTGAGTACAGTGTTAAAAGTTAACATTTCAGAAATGTTACCTGCAGAGGTCTCCTTGTGCAATTCTCTGTTGCAGCTTTAGAGAATACTTCCACCTTCCCTGAAGAGGATACAAGGCTGGAGGCTTCACCTTGCTCCAATCAGTAGAAAAATATTCCCCCCCCCCCCATTTCCCTGTTCTATCCTTGGGGAGCTCTGCACAGACACACATCCCAAAAATGCTCCCTCCAAATCCTTCAGCCTCTTAATCCTCCACAGGGAAGGTGGAGGTTTGCTCTGAAGCTGCGGCAGAGCATTGCACTGGGAGACCTTCGCAGAGAGACAGAATGAAAGGCAGCTCCCAGGCCTTGCTGGCTCAGTTGATCCATGGGCCGTGAATAAGGGGCCAAGCCTCCATGAGGTGACCGGGGAAGGGCTGCCTCCTGTGCTGGCCATATCCCCCCTCACAAGGGCTTATATTACGCCGATCCCCAAAAATCAGGCTAGGGCTTATTTCGGGGGTAAGTTGTATATTTGGGGAAACACGGTATATGTAAGAGTGTTTCTGATTCACCTTATGAGTTAGATCAGGAGAAACATAAAGTAAATCAAATGCAATAAAAACATTGATGAATTTGAGAAAAATAAGAGTCTGGATCAAAGAATGAACAGGTGCTGAATGAATACAAAACTTAGTAATAATAAATAATAAGTTTTCATTTTTAAAAAAGTTGCTAAAAGAAATGTATGAAATTGTTTATGAATGTAGAAACAAACATAAAGCATGAAGTAGCAAGTGATGTACTGCAAACTTGATGTAACTGTATTTCTCATTTTCTTTTCTCGTTCCTTTAATTTCTTTAGCTTACTATTTCTTACTCCCTTTCTGTGCTCTATATAATGTTGCTTAGTCATGTTTACAAGATTGGCAGCCAAATAAATTGATTAAAATAAAAAATGATTAATGCTGCCATTTTATGACATACTATGAGGCTTTTAACAGTTTATTTCCAAACAAGAGACAGCATCCAATATCATAAGAACAGGGTTTTTTTCGGCATGTTCTACTTTTCATTCTTCAGCCTCTCTTTCTCCTGTATCAGTCTGCATGGAAGCTGTTTGAGCCATCGTATGACCTGAAGCTCATACGATGACAGGCAGCATAATAGTGAAAAATCATTCCAATCATTCGGTGGTAGAAACAGTGGCTATTAATACCAATTATTTAATCTACAGTATCCTACAGTAATAAACTAAAATCCATGAACGTAGATTAATATCATTTATGTGTGTAAACTATTAATTTATTTTCTTTTACAGAGCCAAACTTGGAATGCCCCAGTTTTTAAGTCCAGAAGCTCAAAGTCTTCTTCGAATGCTTTTCAAAAGAAATCCTGCAAATAGATTAGGTAGAATATTAGAGTCATCTAATTAAGATTTCAACAATAAATCAAATAACTATCTAAGGAGTTTTTGGTATTGTTTTTGTTAATAACCTCTAATAGGAGCAGGTCCCGATGGAGTTGAGGAAATTAAGAGGCATCCATTTTTCACCACAATAGACTGGAATGTAAGTACACAAATCAATAAAAGCATTAATTAGTATAAGAAACATATCATGCTTACTGAGTGTTCCACGTTACGATGGACAGCCCCCCCCCCCAAAAGCTAATTATCATTCAGTTCTGAAGTTCTCAGCCCCCCACAAATACACACACAGTCGTATGATATATTTTGAATGTTTGGAAACCAGCCCACATTTACAGTTGTTTGCACCATTTGTGGTCACATAAGTGCAATTCGAGCTATTTTTGTCAGAAACCATTGTTTATTTCCAGCAAAATCCACTCCATAAAGAATAATTGGTTTGCTTAGCAATGATTTACAACTGTAATATGCAGCCTCAATTGCAATCGTAACTCAAGGACTATTTATATATATTTGTAATATATTAAAATTTTGTTTGCCTTAGAAATTGTACAGAAGAGAAATTAATCCACCATTTAAACCTGCAACTGGTAGACCTGAGGACACTTTTTATTTTGATTCTGAATTTACAGCAAAAACACCAAAAGGTAAAATATATATACTATAGCAATATCACTTTCTTACCATATTTTCAGAGTATAAGACGCACCTCCCCCAAAAAGAGGGTAAAAATTCGTGTGCATCTTATACACCGAATGTAGTCCCGCCCACCCGCCGGCCCCCACCCTTTGACCTCTGCCTCTGAGCAATTTGCCTCCTTGCAGCAAACAGCCTGTTTCACCTTCAGCACAGCTTGATTAGCACAGCTTGATTAGCACAAGCAGCTGATTGTCGGTTGGATCGGCCTCCCGACCATCAGCTGTTTCAAGCTGCAGGGATTGCCATAGGCTATTGCTGCCTCTGCGCAACTCGTTTTCGGCCTCTATGTGCCACATTTTCAGCCCTTTCCGGCTGATGGCGATCAGAATTGGCGGAAAATGAGGCACTTGGAGGCCAATAATGGGACGCGCAGAGGCGGTAATAGGCAATGGCAATTCCTGCAGCCTGAAATAGGTCAAGAGGCCGAGCCAACCGACAATCAGCTGCTTGTGCTGAAATTGAAACTGAAACACACTATTTGCTTCAAGGAGGCAAATTGCTGGGAGACAGGGAGATTTTTTTTTCTTGTGCTTATCAGGGGAAACTGAAACTGAAACAGGCTGTTTGCTGCAAGGAGACAAATTGCTGGGAGGCAGATTTTTTCTGCTTCTTTTCCTCCCCAAAAGCTAGATGCGCTCCAATACTTCAGAGCATCTTATACTCGGAAAAATATGGTATATATTCCACTTTACAGTGCTTTACAGCCCTCTCTAAGCGGTTTTACAGAGTCAGCATATTGCCCCCAACAATTTGGATCCTCATTTTACCCACCTCGGAAGGATGGAAGGCTGAGTAAACCTATATCAAGGAAGTTTTAGTATATATATTATTCAAATTTTTCTCTGGCACATATATATTAAATTTTATTTAACCTTTGCTATAGTGTTCATGCTATCATATGCAGTCCTTGTATATTGAAAGAAATCCCTTCCATGATTTTGCATTAAATGCAAAATAATTCTCCTTGTAGTTTAACTTAAATGTATCATGAGTCATCAAGCTGTCCTTTGTACACTACAATTTGCCCAAATTTTGGAATTTATTTTCTTGGAAATCTCATATCTCTCGCTATTAGCCTTTCAGAAAAACATATTCTGTCAGATATCTGACCTATCAGCCAACTAAAATTTTAATGTTTGAAATGTATTGCAATTTAGTTAATTTTTTTTACATATTGCTGTTATATCTTATTTTTATTATGAACGTTCTTAAATATTTACAACCTTATTAAACATACTTATCAATGTATTATTTGCAGATTCACCTGGTATTCCACCAAGTGCTAATGCTCATCAGCTTTTCCGGGGTTTCAGTTTTGTAGCTATTGCATCAGATGATGAAAATCAAGCTATGCAGACATCTGGTGGGCATTCAATAGTTCAGGTGAATGTTCTTAATGAAGAATTTTTAGATTGACTGTTATCTAAGCCAACATTCATAGAACAAACATCATTTGCATAATTTTGAATGCAAATGGCTACATGTAAAATGCTTATAGAAAGATGTTTTACATATGTAAAATTTGCTTTGGAAGAGTTACTTCTACAGCTGACTTGAACAGTATAAACTATGTAGGAATCTAATATGATACAGTACTTGTAGATACAGTTGTTTTTTTTAGTGATTACAGTTTACAAAATCGGAAGTGTTAAAGAACATAAAAGTCCTAAATATTGCTACATACTTAATGACTTTTAGCATCTTTTAGAGTTATCTAACCATTCTTATGCCTAAATAATAGCAGTGAGGTGATGCTTTGCATCATTTCCACAATTGGTAAGGGATGCTATGAAGTTGCTCCTAAGTCACTACCATGTTTCCCTGAAACTAAGGCCATACCACATTTTTTGGGTGGGCAAAAATATAACACACACACACACACACCCGGAAAATAACCCCCTCTGGAGAATTCCCCCCCTTCGTCCAGGCAGAGCTGACCTAGCGGTATCCCGAAGGCACCAAGCCACGGGAATGAGGTGGGGGGCAAAGACTCACGTTGCTTGGTGCCTTCGGGATACCAAGGTCGGTCAGCGGCGTTGTGCCCAGCTGGAGAGGGGGGTTGCCGGGCGGCTGCTCTCTTGCAAGCGAGCTTCCAAAGAGGCAGGCACAGCCTCAGGGTCAAACAGCTGTTGTTCGGCAGTTGCCGCTCTGGGAGTACGCAACTGCCAGAAGACTCGGCATCCTACCTCCGTGCTTTGGAAGCTGCAGAAAAAGCCATGTGGCGGGCGGCGGCAGCAGCAGAGATGCCCTGGCTCTGCAGGGAGAGTTAGGCAAGGGCATCGTGAGCCTGGGAGTCGCGTGAGCGGGGAGCGGAAAAGCCGCTTGCGCAACCCTCCTCTCCAGCCATGCAGAGCCCCATTCACTGACCTAGGGGCATTCTGAAGGCGCCAAGCCAGAGGGCAGCGAACAGGCGCTCCCACGGCTTGGGAATACCCCTAAGTCAGTGAATGGCGCTGTGCCCGACTGGAAAGGGGTGGTGGTTGCTGGGCGGCTGCTCATGAGTGTGGTCACCTCATGGCTGCTGTGTTGCTGTTGCAACAGCGCAACACAGTCGTTCCACCCTGAGGCTGTGCCCGGCGCTCCGGAAGCCCGCTCGCAAGAGAGCAGCTCCCGAGCGATCCAAAGCAAAAAGCCCTCCTCTGATAATAAGGCCCAAGCTATATTTTGTGGGTCAAAAGAAAATAAGACCCTGTCTTATTTTTGGGGATACACGGTAGTGGGGAATTGTTTTTAGCATTTAAGTTATTCTCTTGCAAAATGAACAAAGAATCACCTACTTGTAACTTTCTTACTCTCTGCATACATTTTATTTAAATTCATTTAAACAATTTATAAATGTTCATCATAGACATATGTTTTGCCCTGCTGTTTTTTATTAAAATATATAGCCACTTTTTTGTTATGGTTAAGATCAGATACTTTAACTTTTAACTGTTCATTATAAAATTATCATTTATCTTCCTCAGTGTATTTAAACACTAATATGTGAACATGAGCGTTCTGGCAACAAAATAAAAAGATTCATTTTATTTTAAATTTAGTACAAATTTACTTGTGAATATACTGTACATTTAAGATATTTTAATACAAAGAGCTAAGAGAACTCATTAATTAATTATGTTATTTTGGTAGCAGTTGCACAGGAACAGCATTCAGTTTACTGACGGATATGAAGTCAAACAAGATATAGGAGTTGGATCCTATTCCATTTGCAAGAGATGTATACATAAAACCACAAATATGGAATATGCTGTAAAGGTAATCACTGCTCAATTGTATCAGAAATATAGCTATTAGTTGTGTTGCTGTTTGGATAGCTACAGGTTGGATTATGGAGGCTGAAAGTGTATTTGAAGTTCTGACTCTAGCTGCGTCACAACAGCCCTGCCTGCGCTCCTGGAGTCAGTAGCCGGGCTGGCGATTGAGTTCCCCAGACTGTTAGTACTGGGGGACTTTAATCTACCATCCTTAGGCGAACGCTCTGATGGGGCCCAGGAATTCATGGCTTCCATGACAGCCAT